TGAAACAGCGGCGCACTTCGCAGAAACAAAAGGAACTTACTCACCTTCGCTTGCACCAGTCGGCCATGACTGTCGGCCACTTGCGACGCTGTGTCTCATAGCTCTCAGTAATCGCTTGCCATTATTGAACACGGTATTTGTCAGTAAGGTATCTAAAATATCCGCAAAAACGGCTAAAACGCAAAAAGGAAGCGATGCTCGAACTCTCCGGAACTCCAACGGCGGCCGAACGGAAGCCGCGGAAGCTGATTGCAATAGCGATGGTCTTGCGCAGTTTTCAAAAGTCTCTTCTTTTTGTTCTTTTTTTTTTTTGAAGACAAAACTAAGGAAATCAGTATATTAATAATAATAATATCACTTTATTATATTCGTAAAAAATTAACAAAACGTTTAGTCTATCTTAAGTTTTATCTAAACTTTCGGTTTTCTTTTTCAGTGTAAAACCGAAACTATCTCAAGCAATTTCTCCCTTGTCGCCAAGGCTATTTTGATTCATCAGCGCATGCTTGCACCGCTGGTATTTCGGCTTTTCTGGAAGGATCGGCTCTCGCGGCACATAAATAATGAGGGCAACCTCGTGTTTTGAAACAATGAGCGTGCCCGTCTTTTTTGACGAGGGAAAGACACGTTAAATTTACGTCCAATTTTTAACAGTGTGGAAATCTCGATCGACGGTGTTGTTCGTTGTTGCAATTGTCAATCTCTTTTCACGTGAATTGAGATGTCAGAGTTTTGCAAGATAAATCTACACCATGAAACACTTTCGGTGAAAGCTTGAGGTTGTTACATAAAGGCGCCGATTTCTCCAGCCAATTTCAGAGCGAGCTTTCATTCATAACATCACTCCGCTTACGCGGTTCGGAAGTTGATTTGCGCTGCATGCGACCATGCAAAGTGGAGGATCTTATGTCCCCATTATTAGCCGTGGTTTCTTTTGCCTCCTGTCCTTTTGATTGTTGTGGATGCAGATATCTGAAACAGCGTATAGTTACGCTGAGACCTGCATTACAAAAACGCCAAATTATCCTACAAACGTAATTTGTCTACTAGCCTATGAGGCAGCACGCAAGTGGCGGTGCACTTTGAAAACAAAGTCATGTGCATGCTTTTTCATCAGCAGCATTAAACACTTGGTGCGATTGCCCTCGATTGCCCAGCTTCCGAATAGTGCTAACAGTTTTTTTACAGTAAATCCTTATTCTTCAATAAAGGTAACAAATACAGCTCAGGGAAAATAAAAGCTATCTTTGCAATAAAAGTAGACTGGGCAGGGGCGGGCAAAGTGGAGAGTGAAATTAGCAGTTTTGACATGGCATATCGGTGATGGCATGTTTGTTTGTGTTAGCGAGAACTTCTCATACTGGAGTTCGATGCATTATTTAATTTTCTAGTGAAGTTACAACCCTCATAAAGTGCTGTCGCATTCAGCATGAACGAAGTTGTACTCTACCGACTGCAAGCACTGAAAGTAGACCTTTAGTATACTTAAGTGCACTTTCGGTATACTGATTTTGAACTACTTTTTACCGCGGGCACTACGATTCTACTACATGTACTAGTTTTGTACGGACGAGTATACTTTCAGTCCACCGCCATTTTTACTGGAAGTATACTTTAAGTACACTTAAAGTATACAATCAGTACAAAGACCGCATTGAAAGTACACTTTTAGTATACTCCAGTACACTTCGAGTGTACTGATTTTGAACGACTCTTCGCTAAGGGTAGATAGGGATGCGGGGAACACCGTGGTTCCCACAAGGTACATGTCAACGTTAAGTGCATTTTGTCTAAATGACGTTATCAGCTTTTACTTGCGGCTTAATAACTGTGTGATATAACTAAGAAACAGCTAATGTACAGGCTCAACGGAAAAAGAGTAGCACAAGTGACCGATGACCGGAGCGGCAAAATCGCGACACGCGGCGCTATTGTTCCTGAGATCGCCGATAGCGAGAGTGCCAGTCACGTTGCATGTCTCAACGCGGGGGTGGCCGGCAGAAAATTGAGAGATAAGATAGCTGTTAAAATGAGGGCTTTAGGATGGGCTGCTTCCTGCCGCCCCCCCCCCCCCCCCCCCCCCCCCCCCCCCGTTAAGACATGGAACGTGACTGGCACTCTCGCTATCGGCGCGCTCGGGAACAATAGCGCCGCGTGTTGCGATTTTGCCGCTCCGGTCGTCAGTCACTTCTGCTACTCTTTTTCCGTTGCAGCTGTACGTATCACAGACGACAGAAAAAAAAAATTTAGCAGTGGGGCCAACAAAACCTTAAGTGTTTTCTTGCAGTCTTTAGTGCGCACATCGCTAGTTTAATAAGGTTCATCACGCGACTATCAAGCCACTCGTGAAAGTTTATACAGTAGTCGGTTCGATGTCATGAACTAAACGTCATATTGTAGTATTTAGGTTGCTAAATATGGTACAAGGTTTGCAAGCACTCGACCCCCTATTTCTAAAAGTGAGGTGTGCGGTCGTTTTTCACTAGTGCTTGGTGCACGTTAAAGACCCCAAGCTAGCGGTTGTACTGCACTGGCTACACTCTTAAAACAGGTGGTGTATAGAGGTACACCCCTTGTCCCATTAGTAACACCCCAAAACAACAATTTGACTTTCAGTCCATAGACGTCGGACCGACGATACCAACTTTCGCGAGCGGCTGGATAGTCGACCTATACAACTTATTAAAATAATTAAATTACGAATAAAATCCACAGTAAGATAATCAAGGTTTTTTTGGCCCTGCTGCAAAACCTGTGTTTATTTTCTAGTCTTTGATGCGCACATTAGATATTTAGTACGTTATATCCAAAAGCTTTCAAGCCGCTCGTTAAAGTTGGTATCGCCAGCTCGACGACAGTGAACTAAACGTCCAAATGTAGTTTTGGGGTGTTACATATAAGACAAAGGGTGTACCCCTATACACCCCCTATTTCTAAGAGTGTAGATTTTTCATCTACACCTGAGACACAGATACCGATTGAGGCGGAGGAACTTTCGGCTGTTTAAACGTATAAAATAACAACAACATGACTATGAATAACGACAATTC